ATCGATGATGAGAATACCTCTAAATAAATAATCTCAAATGCATCTAACAGCACTATAAACCAAGAACTTAGTAACGAACTTCATTAGATGCTTCTTTTCTTCACCGTTAAAATCATGTACATTTTCTTAAACTAAACTCTAAACATTTACCTCTATTCGATTGAATATGGCATAATAGGAAACGTATCAAATTCATTTACCGTTGTAATCTCTTCTTTACTGATCTTATTACATATACATATATATTTATTCAAAATCTTATCTTCAAATCTTTTCTTAGCCTGGATTTTAACATCAGTATGCATCTAAACAGAACCTGTCTGTGACATGAATGTGATTTTCTCAGTTTAAACAAGACTACATCAGCGATTGCATTCAAGTAGTCTAAAAATGAAACATGGCAATTTTTCAAAACCTTCTCTAGAATGTAACTATAGGCTACAACTTTCCTCTAACGCAAAACTCTCTTCTCTACTGTATCTTTAATACAATTGAACTTCTTATTCTTTTACAAATATTTATAAATGACTATTATCAGACGGTATAAGTGTATTCTATACTGGTTTAATTCATAAAGTTAAAGGTCATATGCAGTAACTGTGGTTTAAATATTTGGCTAAGTTTTGGATTATATCATAATTTAATATATGCTGCTATATATCGAATACTAATAATTAATGTATTTCGTAGTGAGAATATATCTTTATTATCAATGGTCAGAACTTGATCGTTGTTGCTCAACGTAGTCAATCATTTACTATTTTCAATACCCATTGTTCGACACATCAAATATTTCATGTAAAAGATTCTTTCATAAAAATAACGTTGATCTTCATATTATGTGTTTAGGAAAAGGATTACGGCTCTATTCAACGTTTATAGTCTTATCAATATAATGACATATTTCATTATGTTTTACTTTGAAAAAGTAAAAGTATTGCTTCGTTTATTTTCCAAAGCTTAAGATGAAAATATCAACTATTTGGCAATTTGAGAGGAAATAATTGTAGTTCTCGATTACTTGTGGATGATTATGGAAGAGTTCGACAAATTATTAGATCATTTAGATTGTGTATTTATGATCAACTATGAGAATAGAAATGAACTGTTGGAATATAAATTTAGAATCAGACACTATTTATGATCATCGTTTTCTCACTAATTATGTTTTATTAGTGATATGAAAAAAAAAGATAAATAACTCTGCATGGTTGATTATACATTCGTTTATAATTATTCAATTTGTTTTGTTATCTGATGCATAGATAGATGAACTATTTGCTATTCCTACATGGTATTTAATATCTACATAGAAGGCGAAAATATTTTCATAGGAACTAAGATATTAACAATGGTAGAAAATGATTTATCCATAGTAAAAGCTTAATATCTATAGTTTTAATTTCAATAGTCTGAGTTATTAGTTGTATCATTCTTAGAAACTTCGTTATTTAATTTTCAATTTTGAGAATCGAAACTTGTTTTTATGTGTAAAGAATTCTCTAATACATCTAAGTTTTGATCAATAAATATTCCTTTTCCTTTAATCCCTTAGGCTTTTACAAATCTCCAGACAAAAACCTCATAGTCCAATTATTTATGTATATCGGTATGATTACTCGAAATTTTGAATTTTTCAGCCAAACTTTGTAGACATGTCTGACGTTTCTCTTCAAGCAACAATTAAAACCTAAGTTTGATATTCGACAAAACATGAATGAAATAAATGTAACACAAGTAACAGTTTTGATTGTACTTTTTGAAAAATGAAGTATACTTCTATTAAAGACATAAAGTGGTATATGGACAAACAGAAGAAAATAAAACATAATGTTTGGAACAACACTGATTGATTATTTTGCTTAGAGCACATAAACTTGCTCTCAACAAGTTTTATCAGACAAAATGGCATATCTATAAAATATTTTCCAACCTGTAAAAACCAGCTAGTCTAGCTATTTTAATCAGCCCGATACGACCGAACTAAATCGGTTACAATTATTAGGATGTATAACCTAATGATAATACTCATCTAGCGAGTGTGACTTACCAACATGAGTACTCAGTTTAGTCCTCGTCCTCATTTTTTTTTGGTGGAATATTGAACAAAACACCTATGCGCTGTGATGTACAAAAATAGAATAAAGTTGCGTAAAAAAGAAAAACGATGTAATTAATTAAATAAAGAAAAAGAGAAGAACTATTTTAACAATTTATCTGTTCTATCCTTCCTTTTTTGCTGATGAGCTATTCATACTGCTTATAATGAATAGTTCTTTAAAGGATAGAAAAACAATTTTTCATTTTCATCTGTACATTTCTCGAATCAAATTAAATATTTATTTAAACATAAAACAATAATTCGCTGAATTTTATTTTGATAGATTTCAGATGATATAAAGCTTTTCCAAATTGGCAGCGAAAATTGACTAAACAGAACGTGAATAAACACTTTTGCAAGAAACCTATTAGAATTTAACTCCTTTTTGAGGAACAAGCTCCTAGATATATAGTTTGAAAGTTTTTGTAGAAACGAATCTTTGTACTGATTAAAATAGAATGTTCATGTATTTTATTTGTTTTCCTATTTCACTATCTTTTTTTGTATCTGTGAAATAAGAACAAATAGGACAATTATGATAGTTAATACTTTTTTATATGATGATGAATTCTGACATTTAAGTTTGTGTTTCTTTTATGGAAAAGAAAAAGCCGATCCTGAAAAGGTTAGCATCATTACTAATTTAAGATTCATTTCCGTTTACCAATGTCGTACTGTTCTCAATACGTGTTATTGTTCACTGTTTCTGTATTTTCTGGATATAAAAAGTTTATGTTTACATTCTATTTAAAAATATATACATACTGTGATCATCAGTTATCAAGTTTTCATAATGTACGCCCGTATTTTATTATTAATTTTTCAATTAAATATAAAACGGTTATAATACAACAACATTAAACAGAATATTGGTCTACGAGTATTTTACAAAAAAAATTCACTTGACTATATGAAAGCCGTGTCATGAGCACTAGTGAAACACTCAATTTCACAAGACAAATATTTGATTGTCATACTCAGCTTTTAGCAAGAGTACTATCTATGAATAGTCAAAATCCATGAGTACTCGCAGCATTTTGTAGCATGAATACTTTTTGAGTGCCTGACAGATAAGCTAATATTCTAATGAGACGCATTGCTTTCTCAAAATCCTCTAAATTATCATGATTTGGAGAAAAAGAAGCATTTTCTTCTAAATTCAGTGTGTGACGAAAACGACCATAGACTCAGTTTTTCTTCTGCTGTTCATCTTTAAATGATTGATTTAATTCCATATTGCTGGAATCTATTTAAATTTGAAGATCTTGTATTTCTTTTGGAGGATTGACGTCCTTGTTCAACAATAAGAGATGGTGATTATTTATTCATTTTTCGTACCATTTTTAAATCGGTTAGAATAATTGAGTTTGTCTCTATTTTACCTTATAAGTACTTGTGCATAAGATGCTGCGAGAAAAAAAGCCATAACGATAAAGATAAAATAATGTTTAATAATAAAAGACTTCTTAGAGCAATATTCAATAAAACCTTCATCAGTATTACATAGCTAAAACAAAGATACACACTCAATATTTCCTCATGTATTGAATGCCAGATTGTTGATCTCGACTATAATATAATGGTACTGGATTTTTAGAAATATATAAATTCGTTATTTCTGATGTTAGAGCTTTTTTTTATAGTTGGTTTATTTCTTTTGTCTGATAGGGATAGTGACAACATGTTACTACTTTTGGCTACTGTTCGATAAACTATTCCGAACGTAGGACTAATAACTAATTGTATGATAAAAGTAGTAAATGGGTGCGTAGAAAAAAGATAGGAATATATTAGAGAGACAAATAGAAGACAAACGAATAGTTACAAGTGTGTGTTTTGGTTGGGTTCAAGTTTTTCTTGTTCTTCGATTTATTTATACAATTTAAATATGAAACATATCATTTGAAACATAAAAGGTACTCTAAATACTTTCAAAATTTTCTGATAATGATATAGAAAAAATCAATATTTCACAAACAAAAAGTTATTGATAGTTTTGATTCAGGTCAGTTCTATATTTTAAGCAATCTATTAAAATTGATAAAAAGTATTGTTTTGCTTTGTATTATCATTGAAATACGAAAAGTATTATATAACAGTGAAATATTAGTATAAGTTTCAAACTTGATAGAATCATTTAAGAAGACGAATAATTAAGTAGATTTTCAAGTTCAGTATTGCTATCAGAAAGTTAAAATTATTAATGAAGTAACTAAATATTTAACAGTAAAGTGTTGATCAGAATTTCTTCTCAATAAATTCTTAGTAAATAAGCAATGAATGAATAGTGATCGATATATTGTTTAAGTACATTTTACCATTGAAATACTGAAATAATCAATTGATCAATAACTAATAAAGAAATTTTATTTTAAATTTCTATTCTACTATAATAACTGTAAATCAATAGTGAACAAGGATTGCTGATTAGATCGTTGAAGGTGCTCTTCATATTAAAAACTCTATAAATAACAAAATAACTTCCAAACAACTCTCAAAGTTTAGTAATTTTATGACAAGAGCATATAGTCAAATAATTGTAGGAATACTAGTTGCACGAAAAACTATAAATGTGTGAATAGCATCGACCTAAATTACATGAGTTTTTATTCTCTTCTTTTTTAATTTTGCAGTATCAATGGGAATCGTTCGAAAGCATCCGTGATGTTTTTTTTTTGTAATTTTGTTGCATTATGGGTTCTTACATTGCACACTAAATGAATCGAAATTCCCTCGCTTAATTGAGTGGGCAGATAAGTTTTTTTTCTAATACTATTGTCGCCACATCTTGTATGTAGGTAGATCTTTTTTCTGGTATTCAGTGCTTGTTGCAATAAAAACAGCAAGAAAACAAATCGTTTCTATTCCATTTTGTCAACTGTTTTTTCTCACTCATTAAATGTTAGTTAATCGAACTTCAATACTTTTGATCAAAGTCGTTAAATATCATATAATAGGTTTTAGAGAAACGGGAACCGATGCAAGACTACGCTATGGTTCTGATCCAATGGTAAACTTCGGAGATCGCTCATTATGCCAGTAAAAAGATTTCAAAATAATCAAAATATCGATTATGCATTATTGATTGTATGTAACTATAAAGTCGTGTTGAGCATACTTATATGTGCTGGACAAAGTAGTAAACAGGCGATGTGGAAAATTCGGAGAAACAATGGCTATCTCTTCTAATACTGGTATGCCGTCCATGGTAATTATTGCAACTGTGAGAATTAGCATTAGACATTTCTATTGAGAAAATTTTGTCTGTCTAGAAAAATCTTCACAGTAGATCTGACGCAATCTAATATTTTTGTCTTAAATAAATAAGATCATTAGATTTTTGTTGAACTTAAATTTATATGATGATACAATAAATATCTAAACTATTATAATTAGGTTTGCCTTAAACATAGAGTAGTTCAACAATCTTGATTTGGCTATCAGCTTATTTAGATTGAATTTAGATAATAAGCTTGATTGCTTTTATTTTAAGCATATAGTATCATCCTAGCTGGTAATGCCTAACGTTCCAAAAGACCAAATCCAACGAATACAAATTTGCATGAGATTCGAACAGAAATAAAGTCATTCGGATACTTACTATGAGTTCGGTACAAAAAAACCGATATAATTTCGCTTCTTCAAACTTAATGATAAAGAAGTTTTCTCTAAAAGTGTCTATTGAGATTGTTAACATAATAAGAAGTTGAAATGCATCTATGTAAACTTTCAAGAAACTTGCAAAAATTCCATATGAACAATCCTGATTGAATTTGAATGTCATTTCAATGTTTTACGCTATTAATGAGTTATTACATAACTTCACTAGATGTACTTTTTCATGAAAATTAAAATGAAAGCAAGCATCCTTCCAGTTTCGGCGTCTTGATGGATTGCAGATGAATATTCCATAATGCAAACTTATGTTATTTCTTAAGCAAAGTATGTTTATTTGTTTGAATGTGATAAACATTTTGATCATAATGATGAGAAAAAGATTTGATCTAAATAGAAAAATCAAAAGATAATAATAGGATGCAGATGTTGCTCAATCCGTTCTGATGTTGTGTACAACTCTCTACATGTTTTCAACTAAAATAGGGTATACTGCAGTGATGGTATCAATTAAGCTCGTTAAAAACTTTCTTCATCTTTTATAGCGATAGCTTAGCCCATTGTTAATAAAATCATACTAAAACTTTACTTTATATAATTTAAATTTCAATAAGAAGAATTATGAATTCTATTGTCATTGAAAATTTCACCATTTAATATTTAAATTTGAGAATTCGAACTCTTTTTTTTTTATGTGAAAATGACTCATCAATAGATCTTAATTTTGATCAAAAAAAGCATTCATACTTCATATAGTAAATGAAATGAAATTTAACTGTATCAAAGAATCGTATTTTCAGATTATCTTGATAATTAGAGATTTCTTTTTCTATCAAGTTAAATACTTATTCGTACATTTAGTTATATCATCTAGGTTTTTTTTAACTAAAAAAACGAGGAAAAAATGAAGTAAATTTCACTTATATGTGTTTGATATTATAAAACATCGATATAATTATTTTATATAAATATTTGAAGAGGTACTCTACAAAAATTGCTTTACGCCGTTTTAATGAAAATAAGAAAAACTTAACACAAACATATTCACCGGACATTTTTATACATCTATTAGTTTAATTCTTTCTGTGGTTTCCTCTTTTTCTTTCTTTCTATTCAAGTCGGACTAATATATGCAATGGAAATACTAACGAACGAAAGATAAGAAAACATTTTAAATAGGTAGTTACATTCTTTTCTTTTCATTTCTACTATTTTACTCCATAATGACATCTGGTTCTAATTCTTTTGTCGATCCTTCTGTATGTTCTTGTTTTCCTGGTTCATATCAATATACTATCTGTAATAAAGTTAAATGGTCTACTTTGTCTATTTACACTGCATTATTAATTATTGTAAGAAAATTTAACATAGATATACAACTATTTTTATGTATATAGATTGTTTATCTAAGTAGTGGACTATATGCCTTGATTGATGTAACAACAATAATATCGACAGAATCATATGATGGTAAAGATTGTATGTATCATTGAATTTAAATGAATAGAATATTAATTATTGTTCTGAATCTATTCGATTTTTTTGTAGATACAATATTATGGCTAATAGAATCCTCTTCATTAATGACTATTTTGGGTTCAATATCAGTATTGATCTATTTCACTGTTGTTATTCTTATTACTGTCCTACTTTGTGGCATTCAATTAGTAAAATTTTTGATAGATTTAATCAATGAAGTTTATCACTTCTTGCTTTTTTTTTTGAAGGGAAAACCATGGCTACTATTTCTTTGGTCATTTCTAATGTTTTTCATGTTACTTGCTGATGGTATTGTGACTGTACTTTCTCTTCGAGAACATCAACAACAGGTTTAATTATCTGACATAGATCTTTTCATCGAAATGATGTATTGTTATTTTTGTCTTATTTAGAATTATCGATCAATGAATCAAATTAAAATTCTCTTCTTTATTATGATTGTTCGTCTTTTTGTCTCGGTTAGTTAAAGAAATCAATAATAACAATAATAATAAAGAATATTACACTGCTGGTTTGTTTTTTTTTTGAAGTTATGCGCAATTTTTGTGGCTATCTTTTATTTTCGTCGTTTAAATAAAGCTCAATCAGAACAAATAAATCGACAAGTAATAAATAATTCTTATTACTATAAAATATTATTCTTTCTTTTTATATTCTAGAGAATGTTAAATCGTTACAATTCTGAATGTTCCTCACTATCATATTATGGTTCGTGGGCACATTCTGCTACTTTTTTAAATCCATCAAAAGAAAACAATGATGATCATTATGCATCAGATTTTCCTCCATCGATTCCATTACCAAGAGCAAAATTTACTCCTCTTCAACATCATTCAACATCAACAGTACTTCATTTACATAATCAACGCTCAGATAATATAATACAATCTCATCAACGAGCAATTAAAAGATATGTTGATGATTTCCGATATAATGTACCATTACAAGAAAGATTTCATCAACAACAGAAAAAAGATGTACAAGAATTTTAGAAACATACAATAACATTTTATAAATTGATGATTTTTTATTGTTGAATATATTTCTTTTTTTATTTTTCAATATCGCCATAAAACAGATCTTGTTGAGAGTTATTTAATAAACTTAGCTTCTGGATATAAAACTCCACACTTTTTCGAGTAATTCATTAATACAGATCATTTTTCAAATTAAACAAAAAAACTCAAATCATTTTCATCAGATCTTATAACAACTAGGTTTATTTTTAAGTTAACCAAGGCAAAATATCGGAGATATTTTCAACAAAATTTCTTTTATAAACTTGATATATTCAATATTCTGACTGTATATTGAAAGATAATTTTCATGGATTATCTTTGCAATCTGATGGAATAGAGTAGATTGCAGATAGATAATATTAAGAAAGCTGTCCACAAGATATCCTATATTCAACAGTTCGATAATCGTTGATCGAATAATAAGTAGATTGATTTATCTCTTATATTCAAAAGACAGTTGAGCCTATCATTTCATAATACGATAGCATAACATCCTACAAATTTAACGCTAACAAAAGTAATTCTTTCGTTTGATACAGATAAAATGTAGAAGCAGTGATAATCAATTAATTTTTATTAGTTAACTCACTGCTTCTGTTTGAAATAATATATTTATATTCATCATCATTCGTATTATAAGACAAACACACCCAATGAAAAGTCATAAATCAGAGAAATAAACGAAAAAAAAGAAAAGGCAAAAAAAAATATATATAAAGTTTATCTATATGTTGTCTTTTTTTAACGTATAATGCTATTTGATTGTTGTTTTTTAACTCTTTGTGCTGCAGCAACTTGTTCTTCTTGTTGAAGACAATCAGCAAATGATTGTAAACGTGTTTGTAATTCATTTAATATTTGTTGACGTTGAAGTAAATTTGTACGTATATCATTAACAAATTTTTCTTGATCATAATCAACTGTATCTTGTGCTTGTTTAACAATTGTACGTAATTGTTTTGTAAGTATTGGTTCTTTATTTGTTAAAATATCTTGACAAGAATCAAATAAAGCTTCTTCATATTCTTGTAAATGTTCAACTTGTGCTGCATATGAAGCTAATGCTTCATCTTGTTCATCATCATCATAATTTGATGATGAGCTTGTACTTTCAGCTGAAGATGCTGATCCATCATGATGATGAGGATAATGTTGATGCTGATGATGATGATGATGGCGACGTTTATTTTCTTTATCTTCATCAATAGGTAAAGCTATAAAAGAAAAAAAATTGTTTACATATGTGAAAATAAGTTTATCAAACCTTTTGATATTCCGTCCATTTTAATATCATCATCTTCATTTGAAGCAATATCATCATTATCTCCAGCTCGTAATTCTTTAACTCGATCAGCATAACGTAATGTATTCATTGTATTTTCTACATCAGAATGTGTTGGTGAAACCATTGCAATCATACAAACTTTTGATTTATCACCAATAAATGAATCTCGTAATACTTTTGTTAATGTTGAACCCCGAAATGGTACATGACTACCATCACCACGACCCAATGCACGAATACATTCTTTAAGTGCTAATAAAGATTTATTAATTTCTGAACCTTCCATACGTTGAAGACGATCACCACTTGCTGTATCTTTACCACGTTCTGAACCAGCTAAATCAATTAAAGACATTTTACCCACTTCTTTCATTAAACGACGTGGTACAGCTGGATTATTATGATTATTATAGCGAGATGATGATGATGATGATACATTTGAATGACTAGATATAGGTGCTGTTGATTTTAAAATAATTTGTAGAACAGCATGTGATCGAGAAGAGTTTGAATTTGCTGCTGTTGTACCAGATGTTCGGATACTCATACCATCTAAATTACATCAGAATAATATTACAAGAGAAACTATGTAGAATATTTTTTTTTCAAATAAAAGAAGTTTTCAATTTCATCAATCTGTGAAAATAGTGAATTCGTTTTATCCAAGATATGAGTTCGCTATCTCAATTGATTAGTGTAAAGGTAAAGAAAAAGTTTCATGAGTACATGTTGATTGTTTATCTTTTGATCAAGATTATTGCTTGAGAAAAAAAAAATAGAAATTTAGCTTCTTGAGAACAGGTTTAATTATGGGAAGAAATATAAATTTTGTGAAACTATGTAAATATATATATATATATATATGGATAATGTCTTTGTCATTGGAGTATTATAAAAGACTACTGGCGTAGACATTAGATGACTAGAGAAGAAAGAACCTCAAGAAAGTATGATATTTCTTCCATCGAAAAACGACTTTACTCTAGAATAGAAAGTTTCCTCTACTGATCACCTCTAGTAAAAACTATCGAGTTGCGCCACTATAAGAAACATGCTGAAGTCAGTTACTAGTTGAATCAGAACTGCAGCACTTATATATGCTTCCTGTTACGAACGAGTTTGTAGTTTTCAAACTTTTTTTTTGTCAACATCATCAGTCAACTTCGTAAAGTAAAAATGATTATTAGACTATGATACAAATATCAATTTTTTTCTTACTCAATCTTACTATTCAAGAGCTTTCTCAAATAAAAAAGATAGACTTACGTTGAATAATATTTAAGACATCCTGAACAGATTTGACTTGTTGTTCTTTTCGATCACATACTTGAACAAGACCTTTTTGATCTTCTAATACACGTAAACGTTTTTTATTATTAAGTAAGTCAAAAACTTTGCCACAATAAATTTCATAAAATGTAACAAATATTTCAATTGATGAACGATATTGTGGTTGTGATAAACGATGAAATATATCACGAGCTGTTTGTGCATAGATACCATGTGAATAATCGATTTTTGCTGATGATAAATCACCACCCATTGTAAATGTTTTACCTAAACACATTACGACAAGAAAAAATAAAAAAATTTAAAAGAAATAAGTTTACGAACCAGATCCAGTTTGACCATAGGCAAAAACAGTTGCATTACCACCATTAAAAATTGTATCAATCAATGGAGCAGCTGTATAATGATAAACAAGTTCAGTTGAAGTTTTTTCATCGAATGTATAATCAAATCTGAATAATATTAGATAGTTAAATTTCAATTATATATATACAATTAAAAATTTTCTTACTTAAATGTTTGATTATCAAGATATTTAGTTAAATCAACTTTTGATTTTGGTACATGAACAAGACAATGATCTCGATTTGGTATTGTAATAACATCATTATCTTTTTTAGCTAATTCACGTTTATTTAATGGACGTTTTCGAACAGCTACACAAATACGTAAATCTTTTTGATTAATTTCATGATGATTTAAATTTGAATTTGTCATTGGAGAATAAGTTAATGTTGAACGATAATCAAGAATCATTTGACCAAATGGACCATGTAAACCAATAGATGGTGGTGGTTCAGATACAGTTGAAACAGCTATATTATGTGTATTTATTGAAGATGATTGTTGTACAACATGTAGACGAGAAAGACGACGTTCAGCTTTATTATTTGCCGGTGGTGGAATTTGTAATTGTTGTTCAACAATAGGTGTTGGAGGTGGTATAGGTGATGAAGATGCTGCTATTTTTGAGGATGAAGAATTTGTCTGAGCAGTAGGACGACGTATTGAACGAATAGCAGCTGTATTATTTGTTCCGGATGGTGCATAACTTATTTTTTGATGAGCTGTAGTAGCTGTGACAGAACTGAATATTGTAAAAGAAAAAGAGCCTTTAAAAAAAACCTAATAATATTAAAAATATTAATAAACATACCCGTTAAGTGGTGGAGGGGGAAGTGGTGTTGAAGTTGTTTGAATGGATACTGGATGTTGCTGGATTTTTTGTAATAATTGTGGTGGAAGTGTTGGTGGTGGTCGTGAATTATATTCACGTTCTAATGTATCAATATCTAAAGTAAGTCGACTTGATGATAAACCATTAGAAGGCATAGGGACAGCTGCTGTTGGTCGAATATGTTGGTTGACAACTGATGTTGGTTGTTTAAATATTGTATTGGGTCGTAATTCATTATTAAGTTCAAATACAAGATCAAGTAAAATTTCTTTTCCTTTAACTTCTCCGTGTTCATTCCATTCGACACCAACAGATTTTGATTCAGGTGAAAGTTGTACTACTTTAGCTAAATGTATTCGACCGTCAGATCGTTTTATTTTAATTGATGAAGAAACTTGAATTAGACCAAATAATGGATCTACTGTCGTTGACATTGTTTATTCTATGTTTTACTCTAAAATTATTCATAAGTTTTGAATAAATTGATGAATTCAATCTAATATATACACTTCTCTAATTTATTTCTTTTTATAATAGAACATAAGTGTAAAGAAAAAAACAAAAGAAATAATACATGAATTACGCAAGTAATAATGGCACTAGAAACCTAGATGAAAAAAAAGTAGACATGTATATATTCACTAACCACAGTATCAAAGCACTTCTTTTTTTTACAGATGTTTTCTTTTTCTCTAGTTCGATGGGGTTAATAAGAAAGATTGGTTGTTCTGGCTACTTTATTATACAAACAATGTCGAACATATGACTAAGAACCACATGAAGGAGGAAAAAAAAGCAGTGGATAGATGCAAAGTAAAAGAAATAGGGAGAAATAAGAAAGAAAAACAGACGAAAAAAACGAATGACGACAAATGCGCGCTTTTGCTAGTGTTCAATATTTTCTTCTTCTTCTTGTTCTCTCTCGCGAAGAAGAAGAAGAATGTAATAGAAGAAGCAATAACTTGTTATTCGACGATAGCGTGGGTGACCTTTATGCCTGTGTATGTATGCGTTGTATAGAAAGAGAGAAAAATGATTTCAATAAAAAAAACCTGAACGTGGATAAAACAAGAAAGATATTTGACCTTGAGAATAATGCTGAAAAAGGAACGAAAAAATCTGATTCGAATTGAACATAGGATACTCAATTGACATCATTTTTTTGTTTTCACAAGCATAGAGCTCTTCATCTAATATACAGAAAGCAAGAAATGTTCGATA